CAGGAGAGATGTCAAAATTCAAGCCTCATGTTCTCAGGCCTACATCTTTGTTACATTGCAATCTAAGCTCTCTAGACTTCTTGACAGTCTATACAGAGAGAGGGTTAATTACATTGAGCAATAAGAAATGACTCCCTCTGACCCACCATATTTTTGGGTTTTTAAACTTCACTTTAATAGTTTTATTGGCATATAATTCACACATCATATATTCAATAGTTCGATCATATTAAGAAGAGTTCTGCAATCATAACCATAACCAATTTTATAGCATTTTCTTCTTTCTTGTAGTTGTTAGTGGTTTTTGTAAATTTTACTGGAACATGGCACGCCTATTTATTCACCTACTACCTATGGTGCTTTTCCTGTTAGAAGGTAGGGGTGAGTAGATGGAATAGAGATCATCTGGCTCATAAGGCCTAATATGTTTATTATCTAGGTCTTTATAAAAAAAGCTTGCAGACCACTGAGTTGCATGATTCTGTGCTGATCAGATACAAGCAAATAAGGCTATTAATGATAGACATTTTATGGCTCTGAAGTGGAAGAGAATATACTATAAAGAACTTGTTATATAATTAGATTATAATGGAAAAAACATCCTTGGCAACATTTTGTGTGTCAAATCATGTCAGTCAACAGAGTTCTGGGTGAGGCTAGGTAAAATCTCTCCTGATCTGGTGTAATCCACAGACATCTTCTGGAGAAGACTCAGTTGTGTGTATATCCGTATCTCCCTTCTGTCTCGTTGGCAAAGCTGGTTCATCAATCAAGTGTTCTGCTCCACTGAGTCTGCAATGTCCTCAGAGGACCTCTCTGAGGTTCCTGGCATTCTTACCAGTCATTAGCAGTTGGCATACAGGAGAAAGCTAATAATGTCATTTTTACTGTAAAGTAAGTTTTGATCAATAGTCTCTGGCTGATTTGATAAACATTGGAGTGGTGATATGGAGGTTCTCTTCTTTGCTCAGCTCCCAAAGCACAGATGTTCTCTCTGCCAAATGTGTCCATTTGTGGCCATCTGGGTAGAAGCCCTAGGGTACTATCCTCCTGTGAGAACTGAAAGGCTTCCAAAGATTTGTGCCAAAGATTGGACCCACACCATGCCTCCACATATGTGGGTCAAAAGAGCACCCGAGAGCTGGGCCAGGGGTTCTCTCCAGAAAAGAGGTTTTAATCTGTTCCTCTGCACAGACCAACTCCCATTTTATCTGGAGTCATTATCCTGCCCGAGACCCATGGGCTCGTGTTCAGAGAAACAGAACCTCCAAGTACACATCGAACCATTAACCTTGAGCACTAACCCATTAACCACCAGCCAAGAGATAAGTCTTCCAAAATAAATGCTGAAACATTAAACTAGAAAAGTCCATTTCTAAGAAACTACAATTCAGCTGTTAGAGTAAGAGAACAGAAATGCAGACT